ATAGCATTTAACTAGGCTCTAAGGGATCACGAAGGAGTATTCAAAGAGGTATGAAGGGGGTGCCAGGCAGAGGACCCAGTGTTCATGAAGGTCCTGATGTTGCAGGGAGCTTGGTTTGGGGGAATTGAGAGAAGAGTCAGGTGCTGAGCCTTGGGGATAGTGGTACACAATAGGACTTCTGAGGTGGGCAGGTATGAGATCAAGCAGGGCTTTGTGGACATGATTTGGAGTGGGGCTTTATTCCGGGTGCAGTCAGAGAACTTAGAAGGATTTTGAGCAGAGGGGTAACATGAAATGCAATGCTTTTTTAGGACTTATTGTAGTAGCGCTTTGATGAATGAGTGGTGAAGGGGGTGGTACTATGGACTGAATGTGTCTTCCCCATCCGTCATTCATTCTTATGTTGAAACCCTAATCCCCAGTGTGGTTGCATTTGGAGATGGCGGTCACTGGGAGGTAATTAGGTCATGAGGGTGGAGCCTTCATGAATGGGATTAAAGCCCTGAGAAGAAGAGACACAAGAGAGATTCTCTCTTCCACCATGTAAGGATACAGCAAGAAGATGGCCTTCTGCAAACTAGGAAGAGGGTCTTCATCAGGGACTCACCGTGGTCTTGGACTTCCCAACCTCCAGAAGAGTGAGAAATAAGTTTCTGTTGTTTAAGCCACTCAGTCTGTGGTGTTTGCTATAGTAGCCAGAGCTGGCTAAGACAAGACATCAGGAGGTGGTTTTCAGGAACAGGAAAGAGATGGTGAGTTCTGGAATTCGGACATTGTAGCACTAGATTTTAAGCTATATTTTGGAAGTAATATGTATCCAAAGATATATCCAAAGTATATGTCTTCGGAAGAAGCTCTATTTTGGAAGTAGGATTGGATGGATTGGATACAAGAAATGAATCAAAGGAAGACATTCAAGGGTGCTTTCTCAATTTCTGGCTTGGACACTTAAGTTGAGGATAGTGCTCTTTGCTAAGATGGAAAAGACTGGTTTTGGGAGCAGACATCAAGAGTTTAGCTGAGTGCTTACTGACTTAGAAAAGCCCGACACCCAAGTTGGGAACTGGCGACTGTTGGATGTAAGTCAGAAGCTCAGAGGAGAGGTTTGGATTGGAGAAACCCATTTGGGAGTCACCAGCATATAGAAGAACTTAAAAACCATTTAGAGACCGACCAAGTAGGGAAGTATCCAGCCAAGGAAGGGAAACAGCTGTAGCTCGTCATACCATGACATAAGTTACCAGGTGCCCTGAGATGGGGGACCCAGGGCTGCTAGCCATAGTCTCTTCAACTTTAAAGCTTTCTTAGGTCTTCCCAATTTTGGCCTCAGGTGGCAGTCTCCCCACCCCCCTTCTTTACGGGCACTTTAAAAAGGCATTTATGATTATAGATCCTTCATTTATATTTTAATACAAAATGTTCTGTCCCTCATATTTGAATTCTCTATGAAACTTACTTTATGGGGTAGAGGTTGGGAAACACTGTAATAGGGATCAGAATGGATAGAGGTACATATGTGGCCCATACAAAGGGATTCCCGGAGGACAGGGCATCTGGAGGCGGGTAGAAGAGGTTTTGCTGGGAGAAAATAGGTAGTTTCTTAGGCATCTTTCCATTTCACCGTGTGGTTAGTACCAGATTATGCCACTAAAATCATTCCTCCATCATGCTTCCGTGGGCATATCCTGATTGTCATGTGTGGGTTAGGCACTAAGTGCTGCGCTTTCTAAGGAATATGACGTGAAAATGCTATGCTATCCAGGTGTATACCAAGGACCAGGCAGCTCAGAGAAGGGCCAGTGCTGAATGTGCTGGCAGAACCTTTGGTTTCTGAAAGTAGACCCCCACTTTCCATATCACAGCTGTGTATTTTTATTTGTTCATGGTCTAACTACAAACGCACTTAACTGTCTACCTGCCCTGCTGTTGACCTTGTTTATTTCTAGATACTGCTTCTTGGGCATCCATTTGCCTGTTTTGTCTCGATCCTCTAGTTCTGTGGAAGGCTTCTCCCTTCAATGCTACTGCATACTGAAGAGTTATTCAGAATAACTGAATTCTCCACCTCAGTATCACCTCTGCCTCACTCCTGCTCCCCTGCAGTCTGACTCTGAATTGTAACATCGGTAGATATTTTTTCCTACTGTATTTCTTCCTCTTTAGGTGGTTGATGAACAGTTTACTTTGTATATTTTATCTTTATTGAACTAGCCTCATATGTTTCTTTGTTCAGTCATTCATTCAACAAATATTTATCGAGCACCTACTATATGTCAGGCATTGTTATAAGCACTAAGCATATACTTCTGATCAAAAGCAGGTAAGAATCCCTGCCCTCTTGGGGCTTCTGTTCTATTGTGTTCCTTATATTCCACCGACACTACATTACCTACCACTTTATCTTTGCAGCAGTGATAATGACCTGGTTTTTCACAATGCTCTACTTAGGACAGGTTCAAGTGATCGGCTCACTCCATCCATAAAGCTATGTTTTACCAATGGGTATCCATTAGCTGGTATCCCTGACTAGGGAAATTGCACCGCTGTGTCCATTTTTGTCTTGTTTTAACTTTTTATCCTGGAAAGAAGAGTTGTCAGTCTGGTTTTGAAATTTAGCAGCCATTTATTGATACTGGTAATTGTATGATTTGGCAACAGTGTTTAATAATTTTTTAGTGTTCATAGTTAGACGTGCTACAGGTACATACTTTATCATGAGAGAACATAGGCGTATCTTATCAATGATCTTTAATATAACCTGTAGGAGAATAAGTAATTCTAAGGTGAATAAATATTTAAAGTGATCTCACCTGTGAATAATTTGTGATTTCTTCCTCACTCATTCACAGACCACACTGCAACTTTAAAAATAATTGAAAGATAGCTGTTGCTCTATTAAAAATTATTTAAATCTTTTAAAAGCACCTAGTAGCATAGCAGTTAGTCCAAACCCCTAAAATTTTGCATGTATTTGAAAAAAAGTATTCAGGAGTGGAAATTTTTTTGCTTACATGGAAATAAAGCCTTTAAATACCCATACTTATAAATTACTTTCCTACAAGATGAGTAGATTCTTTGTGGGTAATTAAGCAATACCTTCCAGATTTACTTGGTATGATTTTTATTATTAGAGTATTTGCTTTTTTTGTACTCCAAACTCGTTGAACAGCAATGAAATAAGATGTCTTGGAGGCCTTCGGGATTAATTCAGATGGTCAGCACACTTGAAATAAATGCCACTTTAGATGTTTAGGCATTTTTGTCCTTCTTAGGTTCTTAGCTATGAACATCATAATAGACAAAAATCTTGCTTTAGGAAATGTGTGAAATGGGGGAAAGAATGGGAATGTCACGGTGGTGGGATAAAAGGTTTGCCCTAAACCATTGTCATCTGATGCTGTGTACCAATAAGCACTTTTAAAGAGGTTTTATACAGCGGAGAAGGATTTAAGGCAAGTATCTATTAAATGATACAGCCTTAGCCTGAAGAAAAATAGATTATGAAGTCATGGACATGTGGTGTGATTATGTATCCTTTGGCATGCATGCCATAACAATACTTTCTGGAATGAATTCCTATTATCCCCATCAAAAATAAGAGTAGAAACAGGCCTTTATTTTCGGGAGAGAGGGCAGCAGGGCAGATCCGAGTGGGTATTGCCTGGACCTGAAGCCCGGGCATTTGGCAGTGTGGAAGGGGTCAGAGCAGGTAGCGAGTAAGAAGGTTGAGTATCAGTGGATGGTGGATGATGTCATAAATCAGAGCGTGCTGTGGATCCAGGCTGGGCTTGGGACGAAGATGGGTCTCCAGGATAAGCGTGAGTGGCCAGCATGTGTGACAGCCGGAGTGTTGATGGCACTGTTGTGACCCACACTGTGAATTAGGCCGTGGCTTTTGGGACACACCAGGCTACCGAGGAACACAGAGGTTAGATGGGACCGTAGTCAGGGAGGAACACAGAGGTTAGATGGGACTGTAGTCAGGGTAGTTAGCAGGTGTTCAAGGGATTTGCTACCAGCATGGCTGTGGGTTAGAGTGAACACTGATGCACAGATCAGGCACTAAAGTGAAGATGGCCTGTGGATCAGAGAAGATTCAGGCAGAAGCTTTTCTCTGCCCTGAAGAGTGTTTTTGGAGAGGAGCTGACCTCAAGTTCTGGGCAGCACCAAGACTGAAAGCTCTAAAGTAATGATGTTCCTGAATTCTAACATTTGGAACTTTATTAAATAAAGTTTTCTACCATTCAAGATAATACCAAGGTCAAGATGAAGGACATGGGCAAAGCCCCGATTCTAATAATAAATAGCTCCTATTTATTTAGCACTCACTGTATCAGGTACTGTTCTAAGTGCTTTCCATGTGTTGTTCCATTTCACCCTCCTATCAGCCTATTTAGGGAGCCAGAGGTTGGCTTGCAGAGATAATACTTGAGCAGTAAGACAGTAGGAATTACTAAGTCTGGTGTGTCGAGGCATGGGCTTATAGTACTCTCCAAACTGAGTGCTAAAGTTTATCATTAGTCTTCCTCCCTCATTGTTTTATGGCCCATGACTATTTGCTGTTACTGGCATATTTAACATGTGCCTCGGGTCATGTGCACTTTTTTGATGTATTTAACCCCTGTCTGGAGTGTCTTCCCAGACCACTTTTACTCTGGCTGGTTCCCTTTTCCGACTTCCCATCACTTTTATTTATTGTCTATACACATTTGGTGAGTTGATTAAATTCCTTTTTCCTTTTTTATACTTGTTTTTTAATTCCTTAATATGTGTAAATTTTGCTTCATCATCAAGCGCAGAAGTCTATATTGCTTTTGTACTTTCCACAAAACCAGCCTCATTGTGAATGATCCAGTAAATTCACATAGTGTATTCTGTATCTTCCTTTCTACTTTAATTTTAATCATGTTTTAATCAACTGTTAAAAAACTAATTATTTTTTTATACATCTTACAATGTAGGAATGTTACTTAAAAATTTTTTTCTTTAAATTTTCACAGGGCAAACTCAGAAAATGAATCTTTTCCAGGCGATAACAAGTGCCTTGGATAACTCATTGGCTAAAGATCCTACTGCAGGTAAACTTCCTTTGTGCGTGAGTGTGGTAGCTGTGTTAATTCAGAATTGAAAATTTGCTGGAAATACTGCGTCTGAAGCTCAGTGGTTAACATTATGTCTCCCTGAAATTTTTTAAAAGATCTGATCAAATGATTAAGGTTAAATAATCAGATTATGGTTTTAACACATTTTTTAAAATCAGTTCATTATGAATTAGTTCTCATGTATATCTAACATCATCAAGTCAACTTTCTCCCATAGTATGTGTGGTCCTGATGTTATAGTAATACTTTCTGGGTTAATACCTACTGTGTACTTCTGTTTCTCCAGTATATAGAAAAAAATGGGAGGTACCACTTCATTCAGATTTATGAATCTGTTTATGAAATGAAGATTTGATTCCACACTTTCCTTTGAGATACATTGTCATCCCACTTACAAGATTTTTTTGAAATAACTTTTATATTTGTAAATAACTTTATCTTACAAATTTAATTATTGGTATAAAAACAGTTGTTCTGCTGTATGTTTTCTAAATTTGGTTGGCTTTACTTCATATATATATGTATTAGTATATATAAATATATATATTTAGTATACCTTGGGCTTCCACTTGAGAATCCCTGGTTTTAAGGTCAAGCAAAGTAGAGGTTATTTGTTAGGAGGAAGTGAGAGCTACACTAGTGGATGACGAGATCTTGCTTTGTTTGACTGTCATCTGAGAATGATTGATCTCAAGAGTAAAGAAGGGTGAATTGTTTTCCTAAGGTCCACAAAGCTGGTTAGGTGAATTAATAAATTCAGCTCTATGAACACCCATTTTTATTGTCATTGCCTTGCTCACTATCTCCCACCATTCTCGCCTCCTTTCACACAATTTAGGTTCTTTTCCTACTTTGGACTGTTCTCTCACCTTGGAATGCTTTTCCCTCAGCCCTTCAGATTGTTGTCTTTCACTGTAGACCATGTAAGAAAGAGAACCACTGGTGGGGGACTTGAGCTTGGAGTGTGAGTCATAGTTCTGCCCCTTGCTTTCCTACTGGTCAAGTTACTTTACTACTGCTCTGGCCTCGTTTTCTTCATGGGTAAAACAAGATGACGTTCTAGATCAGTGGTTCTTCATCAGTTGGGGTGATTGTAATCCCCCTTCTTCCTTTATGTTTAACGACTTCTGGAGACACTTTTAGCTGTCACAACTGTGTGTGTGTGTGTGTGTGTGTGTGTGTGTGTGTGTGTGTTTTGCAGCGGGGAGCGCAACTGTCATCCACTGGGTAGAGACCAGGGATGCTGCTCTATGTCTGCAATGCACAGAACAGGCTGCTACAATAAAAGAATTATTCAGTCCAAACTGTCAGTAATGTTGAAGTTGAGAAACCTTGATTTAAACCTCGGATTCATTTCTGTTTTCTGATTTAAAGTGTAAACATTTAAATTACCTATTTTTTGTTGTCAGTATCACTTAAGGGTTATTAAATAAAACATGTTCTTTAAATACTGTTTTTCAGTAATATTTGGTGAAGATGTCGCCTTTGGAGGAGTCTTTAGATGTACGGTTGGCTTGCGAGACAAGTATGGTAAGTCACCATCTTTATATATGAATAGTATTCCTGTATAACTTTTCCTTAAATATCTTGAAGATACATAAGATGTCTGTTCCATTGTTTGCCATATCCTTATTGTATAGATGTTGGTTTTTGTTTTTGTTTTTGTTGTTTGGTTTAGTTTTCCATTTCCATAGCCATCCACAGAATCCTTTGGCCTAGATTTCTCCTGATGTGTTCTAATTGCAGTATCTCTCTGATCTGGTTCAGATCACACATTTATAGATGCCAAAATCATCTTCATTAAATGTATTGTTTTTCATGTCATTCAAATCCAGGAAGCTTTGATCTCTTACTACTGCCTACCGTACCCAATTTTGATTCCAGTGTCTCTAGTTCCAGATTCTGCCCTACTGGTCTCTTTTAATAGATTTCATCTTTTATTACCTGTATTAGTCAGGGTTCTCCAGAGAATTAGAAGCATTAGGATATATATATATATATATATATATATATTTGTAGCTATGTATATGTGTATATATGTATGTGTATTATATATTCATCTATATCTATTTGTATTTATATGCATCCCTCTCTCTATATATCTATGTCTACACCTATATCTATATTGAGAAAGAGAGAGAGATTTATTTTTTAAAGAATTGGCTCACATAATGAGGGGGCTGGCAAGTCTGAAATCTGTAGGGCAAGCCAGCAAGCTAGAAACCCAGGCAGGGTTTCTATGTTGCAGTCTTCAGGCCGAATTTCTTATTGGGGAAACCTGTCTTTTTTCCTAAGGCCTTCAAATGATTGGGTGAAGCTCATCCGTATTATGAAGGGCCATCTGCTTTCCTAAAAGTCTAGTGACTTAAATGTTAATCACATCTAAAGAATACTTTCACAGCAATATCTATACTATTTGACCAAACAACTGGGCACCATCATCTAGCTGAGTTGACACGTGAAATTTACCATTCCCTCTTCCAAAGAAAGAAAAAAAAATTCGCCATCCCATTATCCTTCCACACGTCTTACCTCAGCTGATCTCTTGGCTTTTGCTTGGCATGTGATTGATTTCTACCTATTGCTTTTACTCATTTCATTTGGCTCAGACTTCAGACAGAGTGCATTTTGGCCCATCCCAGCATCCTCCCTCCTGACTTGCTGTGTAAGGAATATATTTCAACTCCTTACTGTTAGGGGTGGCTTTGAGATGATTTGACTTTTCGTTTCTTCTTTCAGTCTTACCTAAACTGGAAGTCAGCAAAATGCTTAAGTTTAGGGGGAGGAGTTGACTTCTACCTTTCTTTTTACCTTTGCCACTGCTCTCTAAAGCTCACGGGTGCATGCGAGTAAGGGGGAGAGTCTTTCCGATTTTTTTTTCCTAATTGTTGTTCTTCCTTTTTCCACTCTTCTCTGAGGTTGTGTTATATTTGAATCCAGGACGTCATGGCATCATGTTCCACCTCGCTACCAGGAAGTTCTCTTCTCTTTATAGCAGGTTGATTTTCTGAGTCTTGTCCCTCTGCTTTCTCCTGTCTCTTTCTAACAGCTGTTTAGCGATTGAGATAATTGGGCCAATCTCTACTGTCTCACACTGTCTCACAGTGTCTCAGTTCCAGCTAATTCAGGTGCCTACAAACTTTAGCTCTTTAAAAAAAATTGAAAAGTCTTTATATATATTTGATTTCAGAAGCAATGCATACGCATTGAAGAAAATTTGGAAAATACAGAAAAGCAGAAAGGAGAACATAAAATTGTCCATACTTCCAAAGATAACCTAGAGAAAACCATGGTACCCCTCTTGGTTTACACACTTCTAGACCATATTTGAATATATCTGAATATGTTTGCATATATTAACTAATGTTTAAAACATAGAATTATACTTTTGTTTTCTTCCTGTGATTTTCAGCTCTCCACTTACATTGCCCACCTGTTCTTGCACGTTGTCTACTTTATCCATTGGAACCCTTCACATATTCATCTTAGTTGTTTTAAATCCCTGGTCTGGTAATTCCAATCCCTGCCCTGTCTGGTTCTGATGCTTGCTCTGTCTCTTCAAACTGTGATTTTGCCTTTTGGTGTGCCTTGTAATTTTCTCTCGCTAGATGGACATGATGCACTGGGTGAAAGGAACTGCTGTAAATCGGCGTTTAGGGGTGTGGTGGTGAGGTGTTTGGGGAAGGGAAGCATTCTGTAGTCCTGTGATTAGGTCTCAGTCCTTTATTGAGCCTATGCCTCAGGACTGTGAACTTCATAGGTGTTTTTTTCTCTCTCTCAGGTGGGACAGGAGGGCTGTTGCTGACTGGAGTTGGGCATTGTCCTTCCCCCAGGTCAATTATACTCTGACAATAAATACCCGGGTTTCCCTTGATGTCAGGCCTTTTTAAGAAGGCAGTGCTCTGGCGTATTTCAAAATGGTTCCTTGACTGCTTCCCCAGCTGGAAGCAAGAAGGGATTTTTCTCCCGTGTTTATCCTAGGAACCCGGTCGAGCTCCTGGAGGTAAGCCTCACAATATTGGGGAGGCCTCCTTAGGACTGGATCCCTGGAGTTTTTAACTCTCAGGCTTGTTCACACTGAGCCTCCAGAGACTCCTCAATTACAGTTCAAGTTTTCCTTCTCTGGCACTGGCTCTCGCAGTGGTTTTTACTCCTCAGTCTCAGCTCTGGTAAGTCAAGATTCCCCGTATTCCTCTGTCTCTCTCTTCAGTCTCGAGGACAGCAGTTTGCTCTCTGCCCTCTCTTCTCTCTCGGGTCTAAGAAGAGTTGTTCATTTTTCAGTCTCTTTGGCTTTTGACTTGCTGTTAGGTCAGAGTGGCTACTTCCAAGCTCCTCACGGGTGGAATTGGAAACCAGAGGTCGAATTATACTTGAGCCACGTAGGCTTGTGTACGTCTGGTGTAGCTGTGTGGCTGCGCACTTTCTAGCCTCGCTCTCCCTGTCTTGCCCTCGCCAGTGTGGTAGCGTGCTGAGCGCTCGTTGAGGCTGGCAAGGCTTCTTTTGGCTGCCTGCCCAGGTTCTCATCAGTGGTGCTCTTCCGACTGCACCCATTCTGTCTGGGGCATTTCATCCCTGTCCCCTGCTGCTCACTGGGGACTGGCGAATTTCTAAATCCAGTGTAGAGCTCCAGCTTGAGCTTCACATCTGTGTTCTCATTATACCACGGCACATCATCACCTCGGTGTTCCAGTCACTTCAAGCGCAGCATTTCCAAACTCTTATTTTCAAACTCTGCGGAGTGCATTATCTCCACCCATCAAATCCACAGTGACCACTGCACTTGCTATCTCGGTGAATACGCCACTATCCGTTCAGTTACCTGAGCCAGAAACCGGGGGGTGGGATCTGAGTCTCTTCCTCCTTTCCCATTCTTCACCCCCAGTCATCTTCACAGTTTGTCTCTAAAGTGACCTCTCCTTTCCATTCTCACCTCCCTAGTCTGCCTTCAGATCCTTAATCATATTTGCTTGGACAGTTTCACCGCTGTTCTTAGCAATCTGCCTCCCTCCAGGCCCCACCTGGCCGCCAGTGTGACCGTTCTACAAGGCACATTTCATGGCAGGTTATACAAAAGACTCCGAGATCTGTCCTCTGCCTACCTACCTGGCCTCATTCAATTTATTCTTTTTTTTTTTTTTTAAAGATTTTATTTATTTGAGAGAGAGAGAATGAGAGAGAGAGAGCACGAGAGGGAAGAGGGTCAGAGGGAGAAGCAGACTCCCCGCTAAGCAGGGAGCCTGATGTGGGACTCGATCCCGGGACTCCAGGATCATGACCTGAGCTGAAGGCAGTCGCTTAACCAACTGAGCCACCTAGGCGCCCTCATTCAATTTATTCTTTACCAATATTGAATCGCTAGATGTTTTCCCTAAGCCTCTGCTTTTTTCCCTATCTCTGGTCCTTTGCACATGCCATTTGGATCTCTCTCTCTCATCCGATTCCCTGGTAAGCTCCGCTTTTGCCTTTAGAAGTTTCTTCTATAAAGCTCTTCCTGACTCTCCAAGCAGACCCAGGCAGTAGTTTTCACTGCTCAGATTTTATACCTTTTACATAGTGCAGGCTGCAGTGTCATTGTCTCCCCACCCACATCTCTGCACCAGACAGCTTCTGGAAGGCCACAGATATTTTAAGTCATCTTTGCATCCCGAGCTCCTAATATAGTGTCTGGCAGTACTTATGAAGTGGATGTTGTTGAGTGAACTTACCCTTCACTCTCTCACCAAGACAATGGCCCACTGCCTCAGAAAGGGGATTTCCTTATTTCCCTTTAATGACTTTTGGTTGGTCTGATTTTTCCTTAAAACAGCAAGAAACTCTCACTTGAAAAAGTCCTCTACTCATCAAGGCACCTGCAGATTTAGGTCTCCATGACACGGGGCTGAGCTAATTAAGCGCTAACTTTTAGCTTTATTGTCAGCTGCTGTGAATTTTTTTTTTTTTAACAAGCGCTTTAGGACTATGAATTGAAGTTTTGAATAATTCCAGGTTGATCAATATGAACAATTAAATCAACTCTCTCTAATGAGACTGAGTGAACGTCAGTCTTCAGGAGTGAAGAATAAAGGAAGTGGTGAAGAGAAATCTATTAAAATAGAACTTTTCCCATATTTAAAAAAATAGCATATATCTTTTAAAAACAATTCTCTGCCCTTTTGAGTGCAGGCCAGGGATGTTTAGCTGTACAGAAGCCTGTCCACTTAGTATTTTTTTGAAGTTAAAAGCACTTGTATTTAAAAGATTATATTGATCTCATTGAATACATGGCATTAAATGACATAGCAAAGAACATCTTGCAAGGAATTGATTAGCTTTCTGGGGAGGAGCTGAATGTTGAGAGAGACTGGATCACGGTCAGTAGGTGGCAGCCTACACTTCGAAATGAGGCTGTCCTTGCCCGTGGTACCAATACTCTGCCACGGCCGAGAAGCATTTTAAATCCCGTCAGAAGGGAGAATTTGAAGAATTGCGGGTTACTGACCTAATGTTGTGATGCTGAATGCTACTTGATATTAAAAAGAAGGAACTGGGGC